CGGGTGGAACCCCAATATTAGCACTAGGAGGGGAATTATTGGTACTTGCAACTACTCCTCTAGCTGCATTATTATTAGCGATGTCTCCATCATTAATATTAATGCTCTCCTGGTGACCCTGGTGGGGGCGGGGTGCCCCCATAATAGTTGAGATGGCCGCAGCTAGGGCTGCAGTGAAATTGGGGTCAGAAGCAATGGCTGCACTAACAGTCTCAACCATGCCACTAGCATGGGTACTAGTACTACGTTGGCCACCTAGCGACACTCCAGCAGGTGATGGGGGTGCCTTGTAATTAGGAGGGAAATACATCGGGGCCGGGATGGGATGCCCCAGCCCACCCATAAGCTGGTGATTAATAGGATAACCATGCAAAGGCAGAGGAAATGTGGATGAGGAAGGTGGCGGGATTCGGTGGAATTGCTGCATGGGGCTCTGAGTCAAGTCCAGCGTGATGGTGGGAAATGGTGCAGAGGCTGATAATGTGGCCATGGACGAAGCGAAGAAGGGCAGCTGAGAATTAGAGAAGAAGCCAGAATTTGCTAGATGATGATGATGATATTGGAGAGCTTCCTTGCTTGTAGTTGAACCTGATAGCAGCATGGCAGCTGCTGCTGACGTGGTGTTGGCCATGGCTGTGGCTGCTGGAGGCAGGGGGTGGCTGTGATTACCTTCATAAGTGGTTATGAGAATGGTTTTGTCCTCCGCCAATCTTTGCACCTGTTTGCGAACGGGGCATCCAATGGCCATAGTACAACGGTAGTAAGCACGTGGGCAAGGGTTACCCTTTGCCATCTTTTGACCGTATTTCCTCCATTGACATCCATCACTAATCTGCATATATTTATTTCCACAAACATTTGCAAATTAAGAAACCATTAGTTGCTGGTTTCATATCACAAGTCAATTGAAGTCACACATTGTCAAACTGTCTTGCTATGCTATAGCTAGACTGTGAATATATACCATTAATGTGGTCGAAATTCACAATATTGCAACATAATCAGCATTTGCATGTAACATAAGTTTAGCAATAGAATGATTGAGTTCATGTGCAAAACTCTCATATATGCATGTATATATTTAGTTGAGTACAAGTGGTTCAATGTACATACCATAGGAGCTTCTGATCTCGCTCGTACGGAAACCCTTGCCTTCCTAAAAGGAACCTGATCAGCCACTGGAACTTGTTCTTGATCAGTACTACTTTTGGGCTCATCATTATCATCATCTAATAAATTGGGATTGCTACTTTTACTGGTATAATTAGGGGACACCAAACACTGGGATGACCGGTCAAGAGCGTCTTCCGCACAATTAATATTAGTTTGCAACCTCCTCTTATATTGGTCACGCTCCGTTGACATCACCTCTATATTCAAATTTGATGGAGAAAATGATGAGAAGGCTTCATGATCAGCCGGTGTCTTTCCAGAAGAATAGGCAACTGATGGATTGCGGACATGGTCTATTGCAGCAGCTGCAGATAGCCGTGGATCCATGAATTGTCTGGCCAACATGCCATTTGCCTCACACTTAATCTGTTGTTCAAGAAACCATGCCTTACGTACTGTTGTGATCAAATATTAACTTCTTATTCTTTATATTTATGCTGGACTGGTTTTACAATGTTGTTGACTTTTTAATAGAATAATGTGGAGTGCACATCATGTTCATATAGGTATTATACATATTGATCTCAAGCACGAAACCAATATATATGGTGTAATGGACATTAGAACACCGACGCACTTGCCGTAACAGGCCTAAACCCTAATATATTAATCCTGTCAATTCATAATTTTATATATAACAGGATCATGTTGATCACGTATATGCGATAGCTCTAGGGAGGGGACAAGATTAAAGTAAAAGTATGAACTTAATATACCGGCTCTCGTAGTCTGTTTTGTGCCTGTTTCTGCATTGCTATGAGTAGCTGAGCTTGCAACTGGCTGTAACTTTTGGTCATTTGGTCTAACATGGTTTTGAGCTCGCCATTTTCTTCATGTAGCCGCTCTAACTCAACTTGAAGACTAGTCATCAGCTGATGAAGAGTTACCAAGTTACGATTTAATAGTACCAACAATTAATTAAGATAATTGGAAATTAATTAGGAAACATATATGAGAGAGAAACATCAAATTCTGAAATGAATCGCGCGCCAGAAATTTATAATAAAAAAACACAGCCATATGTAAATAAATATGTGGTAAGACTAATCAGTACCTTGTTATTGGAATTTTGATGAATATCACCGGCAGATGTTGATGAAATTCCGGAATTTAGAGTGAGGAGATTCAATCCTGTCTGGCCATGGATGATATATAATAATTTGTGAGTAGTGATGATGGTAATTAGGTGGGTTTTGTTTAGATATAGATATATAAGATGATATATAAAAGAAAAGAACAATAAAAAAGAAGCATAATCTTACATTAACAGCCGGAGGATTATTGTTGCAGTCTTGTTGGGGTTGAAGACGGGGCTCCTCATCATCATCAGCATCATCATTCATGATCTTATTATCGGAAAAGAAATCCATTTCTTTGATTTCTTTGGTTTGTCTGAAAAGTTGTTTGATTGGGATTGGGATTGGGATTGAGGGGTTGCTGCTACTAGTGTTGTTGGTAGCGTCAACAAGTTGACCATCATCGGAAGCATTAAATGAGCAATCGGAGACTGAGTGGTGGAAGAGTTTGGAGCTTATGTGATGACGACGGCCTTGTTTTTCCATGACTGCTATACGTACCGCAGATGACTTGCAACGCCCAGCTACCCACCTTTTCAATTTCAACCAACAAAATAAATAAAAGTATATATATCTCATCAAGTGTATAAGTTTGGTATAGCTAAGTTGTGAGCCTTCCTTTGTCAAAGTGAAATTTCCAACTTCCAAGTAATGGGTATCCGTAAGAGGGAGACTAGGACTTGAGAGAGAGAGAGAGAGAGAGAGAGAGAGAGAGAGAGAGAGAGAACTCCTTAGAGGGGGTCCATTCGTCCATATGGAGAAATAATAAAATTATTAATGAAATTAGGCTTATTATTATTGAGGCCTAGACCTAGACTGGATGAGCCGAGCGTACAACAGCCGTTTTTTTCCCTTTCTTTTTCCTTTCGAGGGATAAATGACGTCACCCTTGAGGTAAGGGTGTAGGTGGCTGGTTTCAACCACCACAAGGAAAGGGAAGCCGCTGCAGCGCGGAGGAGGAGGAGGGGAGGGTGAGAGTGTGAGGTTAATTTCAACTGGAAATATATATGTATACACGTTATCTCTCCAAGTCTTAATATAGTAATTAAGAAAGCCGTGGGAGATGAGTCACCAATCCTCAAACGGAGTCACAGACGGTGGTTAGACCGAAGAAAATAATTAAGTACTACTGAAAATGAAAACATATATATATATATATACAAGTTACAACACCTAATCCCACTGACTTCGAATTCCGACCTCATTCAGCCAACCCCTCACGTCAATGCAATGCTCTCTCTCTCTCTCTCTCTCTCTCTCTCTCTCTTCCTAGTCTCCCTCTTACGGATACCCATTACTTGGAAGTTGGAAATTTCACTTTGACAAAGGAAGGCTCACAACTTAGCTATACCAAACTTATACACTTGATGAGATATAGTTGGGGGGTCAGTCTAATTAATACTGCCATGCTTTGTCAAAGCTGTAGATATCATAGCTAGTTAGCTGAAAATTTTGACTTGTAGGAATTAATGGACTAGGGTTTGCCCATATTAGTTATTAGTATGTCCATTAGATTAGAATGCTCCACCTACTCCATCTTCGTTAATTTCCTCCAATATTTACTTGCTTCATCGACATTAATGTATGCCTTTATCTTAATTGATTTTACCTATAATTTCCTCCATTAATTCGATCGCCCAACTCAATAGTCAATACTCATCCTACACCCCCCCTCCTCCCTTCTTCTGCCCAACATTCTACACCTCTACTCTTCACATGTATAATAATATTACCCAACCTTCTACATATCAGCATTGATTGGTTTACTTTCCTTTAATCCCTATATTTCCAAGATTAACATTATAATTACTACTAGCAACGCCCACCTCGTTGGCTTAAATTTCTAAAAGATGTTAAGATGCGTGTTAGCCAACTACAACACTTAACTTCAGTTGATGTCTAAAAATAAATTCAACTTAGAAGTAGGCATGCCTTCGGTCTGGAGTGTTCTACGGCAGGTGTGGGATGATTATGCAAAATGAGAGAGCAAAGGTGAAGACCTTAGGCACCTGTGTGGTACTGGCTGAAAGCTCTTCGATGCTTAAGTTAGCACAAGTGTTGTGAATAAAAGATAACTGTTGATTTGAAGCTATTGGATGGTACCATTGCAAGTAAAATTGCAGTTCAATTCAATTCAATAGATGCTAAAATTGAACTATTGAACAACCATTGTGGATGCTTTAATGTGTCAAATTCTTTACAAAGATTATTCTTTATGAAATCCTATCATGATCACATTGTGGGGCATAAGAATGAAAAGTGCCGTTTAATTCTTGAATACTTTTGTATATTTGAAAGAAGGACCTAACTAATATATTCTTCTGAATATTAATGCATTAGCATAAATGAAGACAAAGACAATAATTTTATTTCAATTTCCTACAAAGGGTCTTGTGTGGCTTCATATGAAATCAATTTGATTTCAATGAAAGTAGGCCCTTGACAAGACACACAACTTATTTTTTATTTTCTTTTAAATATTTCTTGTGTGGCTTCATATGAAATCAATTTATGTCCGTTGCTCAAGTCAAGTCACTAATTTCATGGCTCTTAAATGTCTTAATTAAACTATATATGAATGAAACCACCTGTTGATGACATCAAATGTCTCCTTGTATTTTCTAAAGATAAAAAGTAAACCTCATGTTAATTAATTTGTAACCTTGCTTGTATCATATATATATATATATATGTGTGTGTGTGTATACATCAGTTTAATTGGTCACGTCAAGACGTGGAAAAGTGAAGTCAATGGTAGAAGATGCCTCATTTGACAATGAGAACCCACAGCTGGAAGGTCCCTCTCTCTCTTGGTTATTATATACTAGTAGTAGTAGTAATAGCATTGAGAATGATCTGAAGGTACGTACTTGTCTATATATATTTAACTCGAAGAAAAAAAACAAACATGCTGTGTATGTTTATACCTGCAAAGTCAATACGTACGACTGGTTTTCATAACAAATATCTTGTGTTAGGTTCTTCTTTCATTATCCATGTTTGATTTGAAGGGAAAAACAAAGACGTAACGACTGGAAGTAATCCTCAATCCTCATCATCAGTGACTTTATTTCATCTTAACTTGAATTAGTGGCTTTCTTTTCTTACTCAATCAAATTCAATGCATGATGCATCACCTTCACTTCGATATAGCGGCAACCAAACGGCATAAGGAGTTGATCATGATCGCATGCAATACAAATTTAGCAACGGGCAACCTGGTTTTTCTTGAGAGACAAAAATCTCAATAAAGACAAGAAAGAAAAGAAAAGATTATGGAATATAATTATTCCTTTCTACTTTGTAATTGAGACAGCTAATAACCAGCAGCAGCAAGTCAACAACTTTTAAAATAAACTTTATATGATAGGGTTGACAAGTCTCGGACAGAAACCCAGTCTAGGTCTAGAGGTAGTCGACATGTGTATAATCTACACCAAAACGTAGGCGAGAGCAGCACATACCTTTATTTGTCCATTTGGGTCACGTCTAAAAATAATTAGGTTGAAGTACACGAAAAACATTTGAAACCATACACAACAAAACTATTTATCAAAGCGTAAATCATTTGGTATGCTCACGCACTTACGCAAACAGTTTTCAGGATCGTAATAACATTATTTGGTAAGTTGGTAACCAATACATAACACTAATTACTCTTTACCACGCATAATTAAAGCACTACTAATATTTGAATACGAACTATGAAAACATTCGTTAGGATTTATTAAACAAGAACCATTATGATTATAAATTATCTAAAAAGGAAATGAATAACCAATATATATGTATATGCATTAATTGCAGCTATGATATGAATGTTCTAGGTAGAAAAAGAAAGGGAAAAAGAAATTGGCCGTCCCCAAACTCAAACTGCATGCAATATTTTGGCGGAGGCCCTGTCATGATTCATGAAGGCATGCATACAGCCACTTCTCTATTGATCATCGTACTTGTGGCCAATTAGGCGATAGCACATATGAGACTCCTCAAGTGTCCAAAACCTTGACCTCTTACTACTATAATTAGTTTGCGTATTGGCCTCTTCAGTCTCTTAAAAAATTAGTATGGTCTGCACGTATGCATAAAAGGCCTTTCGCTCCCATTAATTTTGAAGCAAATTATTACTAGCGCATGCACCAAAGCCCTCATCTCATCCATGGCTGTCTCGAATAACTTTTCCATTTCTCTCTTTCTCTCATTTGCCTTGTTTTGCATCACTATTGATATTTCCTCGAATATGAATGCATATGCATCATGGGGAGCTGAGGGCCGGGGTGGGGAATCTCATCATCATCATCATCATCGTCGTCGTCGTGGCGATATCTCATCTTCGATCAGCAAAGAGCTTTTCGAGGCCTTGTTTCCACACCAGGACGAGATATCTCACTAGACTTCCGGCGGGTGGGGTTCTGCACCTGTTGGACGATTTTCATGGGGTTTGTGCTATATAGAGGAAGTGGCTCCCCACAGCAATTACTGTGAATGCATCGCAGAATGGCCATGCTATCCTGGCAAATCTTACAAAGGAAGGGGACCCCTTCAACTATCATGGTAACTTAACTTCATTTATAAATTTAATCATCAAATCAAATTGATTGCGCCTGGCCTGGATCTGGAAAATATATTGATATATGTTAATGTTTAGTTATTAGGAACTATAACTATGGCCCGGCTGGCAAGGCCTTAGGGTTTGATGGACTGGCAAATCCTGAAGTGGTAGCAAACGATTCCGTAGTTGCTTTCAAAACTGCCTTATGGTTTTGGATGACTGAGCAAAAGCCTAAGCCCTCTTGCCACGATGTTATGACTGGAAGATACGTCCCCACAGAAGATGACAAGTCAGCTAATCGGAGTGTTGGGTATGGGCTGGTCACTAACATAATCAACGGTGGAGAGTGCGGAAGATCCAACGACGGACAAGTGAATGGTCGGATTGGTTATTTCAAAAGATACGCTGAGTTGTTTAACGTTGATCACGGACCTAACTTAGATTGTGAAAATCAAAAATCTTTTTAATGAATTCTCCTATATATGATTTTTGTTTTTTTTTATTGCTTTGCTCTTTGTTTAAACTGAAAAAAGATTGGATATTATGTATGTCACACAAAAATGTTGTCAAATCTCTTGAAAACGGATTTCGAGTCGTTGTTTGATCGTAACTGTACTGATCCGCAAGGTCAACCGGAAAATCAAAATGGCCAAAAGAATTAAAACTTTCATAATGCAATACCAATCAATACAAATGTTGGATCTGCCAATAAAATGATAAAGATAATACAAAATTGCGGATAGTCTGAAACAAACAAGTCCAGGAGCAGTAAATTTATCCTGATGAGTAATATATGAGAGAATCGTCTAAAAGACAAGCTCATGAGGCTTCATGCCTGACTTAAGAGAGAATCTCGCGGCTAAGTATATCTTCAAGTCTGGGACAGCCTCAATGGACTTTATCAATGAAGCATCCACGCTCTTCTGATCGTCTTTCCTTCCTTGCGGGACGACATTCTTTTCCTACATTTTGTTGTTGGGAAAATATTAATTCAAAGTAAAATATTTAGACAGAACAGTCACAGTAATGGATGCTATTCTCCAATATTTGTATACACCCCCAACACAAAACTTAAACATAACAGGGCTCAAAGGGATCAGACAAGTAGCAAATAAATGAAGACAAAACTATCTTCCTATAAAATGGAAAAGAGAGAGCGAAAATGGTGAAAGAAACAAATAAAAGAAGGGGCGGAAGATGGAAAGATATTGATAGGGGTGGAGAGACAATGCAAAGGGAAACCTAACAATTACAAAATATCTATACCAAAAAAAAAACACTGGTATTTCTTTTTCTCATGCTTAGAAAACTATACATAATTAATAGATCCTGATGGCACCTAAACATTTCAACTTGCACAACATCTAAGTCCGCATAGACAGTAGCAAGAACAGATGATAACTAAATTTCCTCTACAAATATATACACGTAAAAAGATGATAAAACTAACCTCTTTCTCTGCCTCAAAAAATTCTCCCTCTCCCTTTTTTTTCTTCTTCTCCACTTCCTTTGCAAAATATTTGTCATCAAACTTTTCTACATTCACCCCAGAAATGTCAACCTTGGTTGAAGTGGCAATCACATAGGACTGATTCACACGTCTCAAAGGAACACCATTAATTTTGAATGGCCCTGCAAAGGCATAAAACCAGCACTTGAGTTAGAAATACATTCCATGAATTTGCCTGAACAAGTTCATTTTGAGAACCAGACAAGTGCCACAATTAGAAACCCATGACCCAGCCACTACGCAATAAATAGAAAATAAATAGGAAAATTCATCTCGCACAGAGGAGAGAAATTTCGTGGATAATGGATTGGCATGTATGGGCTCAACTCTTTTGTTGGCATTGAGCTCATCATGAGGAATGACTTTATGGGTGTTGCCCGTCCTTGGGTGGTTATTGGTTTCTTTGGACCTTGAGGCCCCCACTTAAACATAACACAAAATCTTTTCATGTAAAAAAAAAAGTGAATATATACAAAAGCAGTCAACTTAAAGAAAACAACTGACAAATCATTGGATAAACCAATTCCGAAACTGTCTATGAAAATTAAAAAGCATAAAATATATAAGCAATCAAGGTAAAAGCCCATTATAACAGGGCAAGTGAAGCTAACCACATAAATGCTAAGAATATATATTTATACCAATCATGAATGCATAATCAAAGGAACAGATATCATAAATACAAGAAAAACACATTGGCATAAATTAGATAAAGTAACTACGTAAGTGTGATATTTGGTGACACTTCACAAGTTGACACATTCACATGTATCTATGCTGTTACAGATACACGCTACTGCACTTAAACTACCCACCACTACCTATTCGAACCACCCATCACCCTGCAAAGCATCTCAGTTTACAGGAGCAGAAGCAATCACAGAAAGGAAGCGTGCAAGGGAGAGGGATAGCTTGTACAAAACAATAACTTAGGAAAAAAGGAATTGTTACATAAAGCTTGTACAAAACAAGGTATTTGGCAGAAACAAGGTGGAGGTTATTACATAATCATAAGCTCAAATTAACTTGTTTAAGAGAATTCAAATGTACCTCATGGAGCAATTCGAATTAGCTTGATCAAATTTGTCATTAAGAAAACGTTCAAAAGTTTACTATTATTACCTTATTATATTAAAAAACAACAACGACAACATAAATAACACAAACCATAAATTACAACAACAGAAAATGGATGAAGCGATAATGAATGAAAGTGGAAAGCTCACCAGTAACGAGAAGCAATCCAGATGTAAGCTGCTTAAGAAAAACAACTCTCTTTCCCTTGAACCTTCCAGCCAATATAATCAACACCGTGCCAGGTGTAATACTCGCTCTACATACAAACATCCAAATTTAAAAAATAAAAAAAAGAACAAGAGTAATAAATTGACAAACAAATTAAACACATTTTGCAAAATTGAAAATTAAAAGTAGGGAATATGAGAGAACCTGAGGTTGGTAGGCTTGGGCTTGCGCTTATTGACGAGAGGCTTCTTGACGTCGTCGGCAGGGTAGAACTTAGGGGGTTTCTGGGTTGGGGTCTCAGCCGCTGGCTTGGAGTCATGGCGTGGGAATACGCCGCCGTTTTTGGCCTTGATGGCCCAAAGGCCGCGCTTGTGGTACATCTTGGACCTGGAGAACTTACCCACCCCACGAATCAAATCAGGGTTCCGGGTCTTTCTCGGGAGTCTAGCTTTTGGTGCCATTGCGATTTGCAGCAACTCTCTCTGTCTTCCGGAAACCTACGGCTTGCAATTTGCAAATGCGAAGCAGAGAGAGAGGTGCGGCGGAGTTGAAGACTTCAACTTTAAAGTCTTAAACCCTAAACCTGTTTTTTGGTTCAATTCATTTTGTTGGGCTGGTGGATCAATTAAAGATAAGACGTTGTTGGGCTCAATCGATCCAGTCCATAGTTGAAGACTTGGGTTGGGCTCTATAAATCCAGTCCACAGTTGAAGACTTGGGTTGGGTCCAATCCAAAGCATCAAAATGATTTGATGAGAAGATTTTGGCTGACATGACATGAGAATCACTTGAGCAAATACCAAGTCTTCCACTCCAGTTTCCACTAGTTGAACTTGATGATATCCCTGCAGCCACTTCTCTACTGATTCATCACTCTTGAGTCTTGTATTGTGTAAATTAGCAAATACATGCACTGTGCACATCTCTCTCTCTCTCTCTCTCTCTCTCTCTCTCTCTCTCTCTCTCTCTCTCTCTCTCTCTCTCTCTCTCTCTCTCTCTCTCTCTCTCTCTCTCTCTCTCTCTCTCTCTCTCTCTCTCTCTCTCTCTCTCTCTCTCTCTCTCTCTCTCTCGTGCCCATTATATTATTAGGCCATCACATGAGACTGGGTCAAGTAGTCTCTAAGAAACTAGCTAAGCTGACCTCTGAGCTAGCTAAAATATTGTATGTTGACCTCTGACTAATTAGTAGTTGCTTGAAGGCAATGCAACTGAAACGAACCCACTACCATAACATATATGTCCTCTTCTTTCAAAAATGAATTATGAATATATGGCCGGCACTGCACTGCGCACGTCTGTATAAAAGGCCTACGACTTTGCTTTCCTTCCTTCTTATATATTCAACCAAATTACCAAGAACGCCTAAGCTAATTATATATCCATGGCAATAATCAGCTGGTTGTCATCTTCCATCTTCCTCTCATTATTCACCTTGTTTTGCCTTAGTATTAGTAATGCAACATGGGGTGCTGAGGCTGCTCGCGAATCATGTCGTCCCATCTCGTCTTTGATCAACAAAGACCTTTTCCACACCATGTTTCTGCACAAGGACGACGCCGCATGCCCTGCCAAAGACTTCTACGCCTACAACTCTTTCATCAAAGCCTCCAAATCCTTCCCTGGATTTGGCACCACCGGAAGCTTAACCACTCGCAAGCGCGAAATTGCTGCCTTCCTTGCTCAGATCTCTCACGAGACTTCAGGTGGGTGGGCTACTGCCCCTGATGGACCCTATGCATGGGGTTTGTGCTTTAAAGAGGAAATCAATCCCCAGAGCGACTACTGTGACTCCACCAACAAGGAATGGCCCTGCTATCCGGGCAAATCTTACAAAGGAAGAGGCCCTATTCAACTATCTTGGTAATTTAATTTACTTACTTGATCATCATATCTAATGGCTATATCGACATAATATATATGCATGTCAATGTCACATATATATATATTATGGATGGTAATTGGTAATATGTGGTTTTGTCGTACAAATGTTTAGGTTGTCGGATTGTCTTTTGATGATTTGAAATATATATGTTGGTAATGAATTAGGAACTTTAATTATGGCCCGGCCGGCAAGGCATTGGGGTTTGATGGGCTTAAGAATCCAGAAATAGTGGCAAACAATTCCATGATCGCGTTGAAAACGGCTCTGTGGTTCTGGATGACTGAGCAAAAGCCGAAGCCGTCTTGTCACGATGTCATGGTTGGACGATATATTCCCACAGAAGCTGATGTGGCAGCCAACCGGACAGCCGGATTTGGGGTGGTGACTAACATAATCAACGGTGGCCTTGAGTGCGGCATACCAAACGACGCACGAGTGAATGATCGGATTGGTTATTTCAAAAGATATGCTCAGCTGTTGAATGTGGATACTGGATCTAACTTAGACTGTGCAAATCAGAAGTCTTTTTAATGTTAAAAAAACAGGAATGCAGTAACAGGAATGCAGTGCAAGTTGCAACATGTCTTTGATATTTTTCTTACAATATTACATGGAATAAGAATTAATACAGAGCTTGACTTGATGGAGTTTTCTGTTTTGTATTTAATTTCTGTCTGTGTGATCCTTTTTTTAGATTTGATGAATAGAATATGTTGTGATCCTTCAATCATGGAGTAGTTGTTGGAATATAATAAAAGGGAAAGGATCATTACCCGTGTGATTCTTTGGCTCATGCTATGTCCTCACTTTGTCTCTCTCTGTTGTTGGATGCTTAAGCTATATATATATATTTAGGAAAACATGTACACAGAAAGCATGTCCCTGTTATATCAAAGTAGATTTGTCATGCTTAGATAAAAACAAATATTACTAAACCAAGTTGTGCAAAATACTGACAAAAACGGAAACAAAAATAAAGGAAAAATACTATTTTCGTCATTGCCTTCTTCATCCTCAACTCTATACAGAATTATGAACATCAGTAAAACCAATAATCTGCATTGCTCAGAGCAAGAAACTGAACAACAACTCGAACATACTTGACTTTTAGATAGTTGCAAGAAAGGAAATAAGAAATGACAACAACAGGAAAAGGGAAAACTCGGAACTAAAGTACAAAAATGAATGAGTCCGCCATGTTAAACGAAACAACCACTCCAACCACATTTTCTACTATACCAAACATTCAAATATGCATAATACATAAACAATTCAATATAACAAATGACAGACTCCATATGAGTCTGGCATGTTGAAATGCAATGGAAAATGTCACACACTAATTATAACCTTCTTTGATCAAATAAAGCGAGAAGTAATACGATATAACAAACACTTCTTTAATCTCGGGGCAGGGAGTGTCTGAAAGCCAAAACCAGTGTTTGAGTTTTCCCTATTTTTTTCCTTGGTGCAAAAAAGCTATAAAAAAAGTGTTGCCCGTGGCCCTGCTTATGGAGTTGCATAGAAAAGGCTTGCTAGTTTAATATTTGCTATATTATAAGCAGTTCAGCCCCCTGGTTTATAATGTTCAGTCTAATATTGTAGCACATGCAAAAGTCCAATGATCAGGTTTGTCGAAGTCCAAAGAAACGGTAAGGATATGTAGATGAAACTGTGGATTTTGACATCACAAGAGAAAGTGTTTTGTATCAAAGTGTCCATCAGTTCCAAGAATTTGCTTTGCTGTCTCTCTTTATCTGAGCTTGACCATGGCAAGAACATTTCAGAAAGGAAAAGAGAAAGTGCAAACTAATCAAGAGCAAAAGCACAATGAAAGGCACCATTAAGAGTAAAGCCTTTTATAACAGAAGAATAATTGTCTAGCAAAATCATCCAAGTAAGAGTTATCCATTCCATTTGTCTCTCTTCATATGGAGATAGAGTCTTACAAGCTATGATTGGCGGGAAATGTGACTCTATCAGGACAAAATTTTTGAAAGGCAGCTGTCAGTTTGCCACTAACTGTTAATGTGTAAGATGGTTCTTTGTTCAACAATGGTTGCAGACTGCAGTGAAAGCAAATAACAAGCAAAGCTGCACACAAACAAGCATTGCACACCATAAATTCACAAAAGGTCACATGGGAAACAGCAGAACCAAAATCGATAAATTAGCCCTTCAAACTGGTTGTTCTCCAATCCAAATGCCTTCATCAGAATAACAAAAACAATATTAAAGCATTGGAGAAGAAGTATGCACCACGGACATAGCCTGCAACTCCCTCAATGATCCCATTTATGGGATGCTGCCTGAAAGTTTGTTACCCTCAAGCCAACTGCAAGGAAATATTTCCATCAAAGGCGTTTTAGTAATCGATCGGGATAGGACAATCTGGTGGACATGGATAGCATAAACATCTATTGACACTTCCGTGAGTATCTACACTACAAGTCATCCAATGCATTCAAGGAAAAGTTTAACTGCATCAGCAATTTAGCAAACCATTCCAAAACATTGTATGTGTTTTTCTGCACAAATGAATGAACCACCCAAAGAAGGCGAAACCGAAATTATAGCCTAGCAAGGAACATGACAATTCAAGGAAGTGCCTAGAAATTTACCTTGAATAACAAGCAACTGGCAACCACAAGAATGATATTAGAGAAAGAAAACTCCCTTGGGCAAACTGTACAATACTTGAAAAAGCGATCAACCCAAACATTATTCCAGATATAGCCCCTCCTCTCCCTTATCCCAGAAGAGGGAAAAAAAAAAAGAGATGGGATGGAATTAAAACGCTGCGTTTCACATCACACTTACTTAAGGCTGATGTGGAAATGCTAAAGCCGTTAGATTCTTTGAATGGCTAAGATTTCTCTAAATGCAGAAGACTGCGCTTAACTTTTCTCACGGCCAGAGACCTCACTCACTGGAATTGCAATAATCCGACACTACAACCCCTCTCCCTTATCCCATCACCTTCCACCCCCAAACTCTCTGCTTCACCTTCACACTAAGCCGCCGCCGCCACAGGAGCCACAGCAAGCCTTGCTGCTCCTCTCCTCCATCTTCTTCAGTTCGTCTCTATCTCTAAATCTCCTAACCACAAGCTTCAGCCTCCAATATCCAGGTGAGTCGTTTGCTTCAACATAAAATTTTGCTTCTTTTGCATCCTCTTTGTCTCTGGATTATGCTTTCTCTTGTAGTCTATAAGTAGTAGCTCCAAATGGAACCGAAGCTCTTGTTTTCTTTAACCAAAGCCTCACCGTCCCCTTCTTTACCCTTTTTTCTCTCATACAAATCTCCTTTTCTTCTACAACCCAAACAATCTACGAAAACCCATTTGTCACTCTCAAAGATACTGCCAGAAAAATCGCTATTCTGGGGAAAGAGTTTGGTTTTACATGGGAGAGATGTTCCTTTGGATAACCTGACAAAAAACCAAGTCCCGTTTGGGCCAATAAGTGCTGCTGTGAAGAGAAGGAAAGAGCTTCCCTTTGACAACGTAATTCAAAAGGATAAGAAGTTGAAGCTGGTTTTGAAGATACGAAAAATTTTAGTGAGCCAACCTGATAGAGTTATGTCTCTTAGAGAGTTAGGTAGGTACAGAAGAGACTTGGGTCTGCAGAAAAAGCGTCGTTTTATTGCCTTGTTAAAGAAGTTCCCTGCAGTGTTTGAGATTGTTGAAGAAGGGGTTTACTCTTTGCAATTCAAATTGACGCCGGAAGCAGAAAGGCTTTATTTTGAGGAGTTGAAGGTCAGGAATGAGATGGAAGACTTGCTAGTCGTGAAGTTGAGGAAATTGTTGATGATGTCATTGGATAAGCGGATTTTATTGGAGAAGATTGCCCATTTGAGGAATGATTTGGGGCTTCCTTTAGAGTTTCGTGATACAATTTGTCATCGGTACCCTCAGTTCTTTAAAGTTGTTGCAACTGCGAGAGGTCCGGCTTTAGAATTAACTCATTGGGATCCTGAGCTTGCAGTTTCAGCAGCTGAGTTATCTGAAGAGGAAAACCGGGTTAGAGAAATAGAAGAGAAGGATTTAATTATAGATAGGCCTCTCAAGTTCAATAGACTAAAACTGCCAAAGGGTCTTAATCTTTCCAAGGGTGAGATGAGAAGGATATGCCTATTCAGGGACATACCTTATATATCCCCTTACTCTGATTTCTCGGGCCTGAGGCCAGGTACAATTGAGAAAGAGAAACATGCTTGTGCAGTTGTTCATGAGATGTTGAGTCTTACTGTGGAGAAGAGGACTCTTGTGGATCACCTTACTCATTTTCGAGAAGAGTTTAGGTTCTCTCAGCAGGTGAGGGGTATGCTGATAAGGCACCCTGATATGTTTTACGTGTCCTTGAAAGGAGATAGGGATTCAGTTTTCCTTAGGGAAGCATATCGTGATTCCCAATTGATAGACAAGGATCGTTTGTTGATCATAAAGGAGAAGCTTCGATCTATTATTTCTGTTCCTCGGTTTCCTCGGAGGGGTGCTCCCAGAAGTGAGGCAGATGGTGCAGAAGGAAATGATGAGGCAAAAGGTGGAACTCTTGAGGAGGGTGAGGAATGGTCTGATGCTGATAACTTTATGAGTGATGATGAGTTTGACAATGATGAAAACGATGATGAAGATGATTGGAGTGATGAAGATGATGATACACCCCCAGATTTCGACGAAGATGGGAAAACACTGAATGTTGGAGTGAGCAAACCAGTCAAAGATGAAGATAATTCGAGACAGAATGATGGAAAGGTACTTGTTCCAGTGTTGCCAGATGGTCGGCCAAGAGAGCGCTGGTAAATTAATGGATTTGTAGGGACTCCAGCCTCAAGATATATCCTGAAAGGGTTGATTATATGTTTTGGCCTGAAATACCATATATGTCTGATCCTGCTCGAAGGAGAATTCAGCATGCTATCTGCAAGGCTCTAGAACCTGTTAGCAACACAAGGCCTCTACCTTTTCCTCATACTCAATGTTCAGAGAAATGTTCTCTGAAAGACAAAGGCATCACCTTCAAGTATTATATTTCTCTATTGCCTTATGTAACAGAGTCATTTGTTTTTGTACTCTTTAGTTAAGAAAACTGAAATTTTGTGGGAATGAGAAGTTGCAGCTTGTTTCAAATAATTCTTCATGCTTTTTAGTTGAATAACCCGGTTGATGCTTAATGTTCATACCTCTGCAATGCAATTACTTACATAACGATTCAGAAACGTTTGTATCTAAAGCAAAACACCTTGTAGAGATTAGAAGTAACTTTATGAAATTTTCTTCCAGATTATTGAAATTAGCTTTCTCAAATTGTTCTTCCATCACTCTTTCACCATACTCGTCTTCACAATCTTTTCGTTGTCTCAAGAGAGTGCTTTTAGTTTTTTTCCCCTTATTTTCCAAGATTTTCTCAGTGGCCAAACAGAATATTCATGATCTATTATTCTTCTTTTGTATCATTATGAAATTTAAAAAATCTTTAATTGTTTTGAGAGATTCAGGAAATTGCAAAGGTCAAAAATACGACTTGCAGGTATTATACATATCCTGTGTTAGGCTTCCTTACTCCAGTGTATGCCTTATACATTTGTTTCACCATGCTTTTTGGGATTGTGCTATTTTCTCTTTAAAAGCTAGGTACTCAAGATATGTTCTCTAGCATACTGTTTGGAACCAAATAGAAAAAGAATTTTAGTTAATATGCAAATGAATTCAAAATTTTGGAACAAAGTATCTCTTATTTTAGTTCAATTTTCATTAGATTCTATATGCAGCAAGGTAAGTTTTCTTGGATACTATGGGAACTTATTCTGGGAATAACATAACTGCTATATGAGAAAAGTTACCTGAAAAATGTTCCTTACATCTGTGTTCTCTTTATGTATGGAGGAAACCCTGAACATAGAGAGAACACTGATTTAAGGAAACATAGTGATGAAGGAAACAGAGTCACGAGACATGGAGTCTCTATTTGCAGTCAGTTTTGGCATCTTTGAATTTCTGTTTGCTTGTCTTTCTAACATATACAGATTAAGAATAGCTTGGGTTTAGATAGTTGATAAGATGATTTACATGATCTTCAAAAATAGGCAACTGGTAGTGTGAGGAGAATCCAATTGAAGGCCACTGGTGGTGGACAGATGAGATATATGTGCCATGTGCCTTGCAGGTTCGAACGGTTTCAATTTTAATTGTGTTGCTCTATTTGTTCTTCTTAATTTGTTTGCATTGGTTTGAGTTTTACGTTTTATTGGGTTTTCTGAGAATCTGAACAGGTATTGAAGCAGCACAAAGGAAGAAGGGAGCAGCAGCAACTGCTCAGTATTCCAAATAGTCATTTTAATCATCATTCGGATTACCCAATTATAGTCGTACAAGGAAATTTTATTGAGTGCTATGTTATACTAGTTGCTGACTCAAATCTATATTCTGAATTCTAAAATTAATTGAGTGCTATGTTATACTAATTGCTGACATTTTCCCTTCATTTACTTATTGAACATTAGTCTGGTGCTTGCTAAAAATATTTACTGGTTATATTTCTCTTTAAATTTGAAGCCTTCCTACCAATTTCAACATTTGCAGCCTTGATTTTATAACCATTTTCATTACTTTGGCAAGAACATTTTCAGGTCTTTAAAAATTAGTGCAATTTTACAACACAATTTTTGCATGGCGTCTGTATTGAGGTTTGATTAATTTAGCTTAAGCAATATGCTATATGTCTCCGACTTTTAAAATAAGTGTCATTTGATTGAATAGTTATATCTCTTGCAAGTTCTCATTTCATGGTGCCCTTTCAAGTTTTAATGAAAATGTAGGGTGAGCTGGTGGTGCTATCACTGGAAGTAACAACCACGCCATGTTCTATCCATCATTAATGTCAGTCTCCATGCGCCTAGAGGATGATTGATTGTAAACGGCGGGATGTGTCATCTCTTGATGTGGGAAATTGGCAAGATCTGGATTACAATTATTTCTTTCTGTTACAGGTCTAGATTACTTTGATGATCTTTTGTGAAACTGTCCCCATTTGATCTTCTATATATATGTAGGTGTTTTAGCCATATTCCCTTGAGTACTTTTTCTTGTCCACAAACACAGCATACCAAAGTTTTGGAAAGATATGACAATAATTTTTTGTTCAACTTTATCTGTAAATTTTGTGTTCATTTGTAAGCTGCTCTTGTGAAATGTTTTCTTCCTTTACAAAGGTATGTTACCAATGAGACTACTGATCCGTAGTCATCTCCTGCATGCCATTGTAATTTGTATGCCTTTTCAGTTTATGAGGGACATGTCCTTATACAAGGGAAGGGATGCATGCAGTTTATGTACTTGTAAAACATCATTAACATACAAAATACATCTCTGGAAACGGATGAGTTATGCTAGCGACGGTTACACACCCATGCAATTAAGTACGCTGAAAGAAAGATGAGGAAAATAAAACAAAATAACCCACCCTCCGGGCTCTAATATACCTCTACGTTTTTAGGCCCAGCTTCCAGCCCAACGCCCTATCAGTAAACTCATCGTTCCTGACTAGAAATCTCTACTGTTCTTCTCTCACCCTCACTGGACTTAGCCCATCCCAAAAATTCAAAACCCTTTGGACTTGGAGGACGGAGATGATGTTAAAATCAGCATGGGAAAGTCCTTGTGATCTTCAATCTCTTCGCTGCGGACAAGAACATCCTGCGTGCATGCATTAAATGTAGAAAGAAAGAAAGAAATTAAGCACAAGAAAAGCAGTTGATCCATCATTATTAAACTGACTGGGAATTGGGAATTCGGGATTGATTAATTAAGCAAATTAAGAGGAGGAGAATTATTGTGCATTTATAATGCAGAAAGATTAATTGGATTGACTACTTACTCCCAAGGAACATCCCCCACCATCAGCCAATCCCCTTCCTCGTCTTCATATGTCAAAACATGAACATCACGACCAGACTCAGAGTGCACTCTATCCACCTCATCTCCCCCTGCAGTTATATGTATATATATTTCAATCACAATCACTACTACTTCTACACAGGCTTCAAATTTTCTACTAGTCCAACATTAGTGATTCAAATATATATAATAAAAAATTTCCAAAAACCAACTAGTATTAGATGTGTTGGAAATTGATGAAGCAAAGTTAAGTTACATACAGAGAATATTGGTGTTGAACATATGTTCCAGTGTTCGTATCAAGTCATGAAAACCATCATGCGCTAATAGATCCAACTTCCTGCCAATAGCATGGCCTGCCATGTAAACCTTCACATAGAAGGTGGATGTTGTGTGATCATCATTGTCATTGCTGCCTTCATCTGCTGCTGCTGCTGCATAATTATTCATTGCCTCCTCCTTCGGCTGGTTTGAATACGCCCAATCCGACGATGACCCCCTATTATCAAATCATATAAATACCATATGTTAGTGAGTAATCCTCATAGTTCATATATGTAGGTAATGGTAAAAGTCATAATATATATATTATCAAATGGAGCATTAATGGATTCATGAAGTTGTTGATGAGAGCTTCATGGATCATCATGGTATACACACACGTACGTGTGGCATGTACCATGCATGCATGTACATATATATATATACATACCTTGCAACAGAAGGGTTGTGTTGTTGAGAGTGAGAGGCAGAGGGTGATAGGCTAAGCCCAAGCCTGAGATCTGTGCTAAGATCTCTCTTTAACTGTTTGAACTGTGAGTGCGAGAAAGAAGATGGGAGGGTTTGGGAAGATGATGATGGCGTTGTTGAGAGAGCTGGGTCCTGGTGGTTGCTACTGTCAATAGATGAAGAACAACTAGTACTACTTGTAGGAGCTCTGCCTCTGCCCATCGCTTAATTACGTTCATTCATTTATATTGAAGAAGCCGCCAGCCACGTATCTTGTGTTTATATATATATATATATATATGTAACTTTAAGGCCTTCTCCTGGGAGGCAGGCATTTCTTCGATTTGATGATACTAGAGTCCACCTGACCTGAGAATCCAAATAATGTTCTCAGTCTAGCCGACAGGTACACGTGTCAAAAAGCGACTTACATCGAAATTCCATTTCAAACTTGAACGCAATGTTGAACATGTGAGAAATACAACCAACCTGAAGAAAAACAAAAGGAATGAATGAATGAAGATTGCATTTTGTTGACGTTTAAAGATCCAGTTCACAGGCTGATGCGGATGCTGAGGTGAAACTTTTGAAAATTTGCAAGTTATTTCACATCAAATAAAAGGATGTCAAATTCATATAGCTCCCTTACCTCCCAACTTTATTTCACATCAAATAAAAGGAATCAAAAATGGGATTCACAAGCTTGCCTTTACACAGTCAAGTTACAGGCAAGAAGAGCAATAATAATACCCTTGTGTTTCTTGGTACCTTAATTTGGAACACAATGTCAGTCAGTCTTTCTCTCAGATCTCACTTTAGCCATTGCAAATTAATTAGAGACAAATTCTATTAAGAAATGGAACTCTTAAGAGAATTAACTAAGTTGGTTTGATATCAATTCTATGTGGTTGAGGAAATGAATCTAGACTCTCTCTCTCTCTCTTTTTCTTCTTTTATATTATTTTTCTGACCACACACTCAATAATGAATGTAGACTGCGTTTGTGGTCGTGGAGTCATCTTGGACATTCAATTTGGAAGCTAAAAGGAACGATCTCCGATGTCTGCATAGCAAGAGACAAATATTAGATTAATTTGAATTAAAGAGAATCTCCAAATCAATGTTCAATGGATATAATTATCGTGTTGCGCATGGGGCCCTTGGGTATAGAGTCACAGTACATAATCAAGGGCATTGGCATTGGTGTAATTTGTAGCATACCATATATAATCTTAATAATTTTATATCACTAATGTACTTTAGCAACAAACGATGATTGATTAGGGGGGATGGACGTATATATGCTTAACAAACATCGTACATGCAACATTATTTTGAACATAAAATATACAAATATCACTAATATGCAAGAAATTGTCATTTAATTACGGTCTAAATATGCTCATCAAAGTTAGTCGCACGTGATGAAAATTAATGGAAAATTGTAACATAATTGCAGTTAGGATTAGGAGAGACATCCGCGTGAACTGAAAGCTTAAGGAGACTCAAAACTAAATTGAAAGTTAGAATGGCAAAGTGGAATAAAGTCCAAAGTTGAGAGGAGATCTCTAAATTAATTTTTCCCTAATGAATAATTTGCTTTGTCTCCATTAGCATATTTTCCCCGGCTCCACGTGCATAAACTGTGTGTAATAATAGTAAGACACCACTTTTACTTTTTGTCTTTCACTCTTTTTGTGATATGTTAGATTTTCCATGTTTTTTCACGAGGCCAAGGGAACATGAATATCTTTGCTTACGCCTAAAGATACGCCAATTGCTATAGGAGGAGATTATAGATTCAGAAGAAGGAATTGAAATGAGGACTTAGAAGAAACAAAGGCAGAAAGATAAAAGTGGATGTTCCCCACCACCCCTACCATTATCATAACTATTGTTTCTTGAATCAATTAATTAGCCTTCATCTCTTTGAAACACGCGAAACGTTTGTTTCTTGAAATTCAACTCTAGAAAAAGCTTTCCGCAACTCGCAGCTACTTTTAGTCTTTTAGATCTCAATGTCCTGTTCTCCCAACACCTATGCATTGCCATGCTTGTATTGTATCAACTTACCAAGAGACCTCCAACCTCACCCCCACACTCACCCTCGCCTACTAAAGCTATTGACATCAACCACCAAACATGCGCTCCCTTCCCTTCCCCTACTCCTAGTGTTTGGTAACCTCAGCGGCCGGCGCGCTAATGTCTCAACCTGCTTTCCTAGGATATGTATACGGCTGGCTGATGCTTCCTTTCCTAATCAACGCTTTTCAAGTTTTTCGAGTGATGCCTTGCCTCGGCATTGGCAACTGGCAACACTCCAAAAGCAAAAGAAAAGAACAACTCAGCGCATTCCAAACAAGATAGTGTGGGTGTGATGTGGTGGCTAGCTACGGGGGCGGGGGAGCTTTTAGACTTAATGTAAGATCTATATCAATCTGTAACAAGTAATATGTCACCAGAGTAACAACTAAGAGAAACCAAATAACATTTTATTTACACATGTTCCACATATTGACACGCACAACCAGAGAGATGGGTAACTAAGAACATCAAGATTAACACTACGAATAATTTATAAATCAAAACACTAAGAACATTGGCAACCAGTAAGACCAAGGACCAATTTTTCAGCCCTTTCCTCCGAAGAATATAAGCTGGAAACTCGTTCAAGTGTCACTGAATTTAATCACACGGCCTTTGGCAACCATCAAGTACATCCAGAGCTCCAGGTAATTACAAAACTTGGCAGTTAAGATATTATTAATGCTAGAGCTCCAGGTATTTACAAGTACAAATAACAAGACAAAACCAAAATACCTAAAAGGAGAAGCAACTCTATTTGAAAAGCTGGCTACCCAGCACGTCCAATGAACATCTTAAGTTCCACTTCCCAACATACCATTTCTACAGGATGCAGGATCACCTTTAACTGTACTATTTGTAAGCATATCGTGATACAAAATTAGCCACCTCAGCTGCAACATCATAAGCACCCTCAACACATCGACCCAAGGCTACACCAGTGACGTAGTTGCCACCCAGAAACAACCCTTGGGAATCACTTAAACCAGCTTTTGCAGCATCTAGGACATCAAAATGACCAACCAAGAACTGTGGAATGGCTTGTGGCCATACTTTCACACCCAATACAAGTGGATCCTTAGCATTACGGTTTAGGAGGACGTTTCTCAGATCTTGATCAACTGCTTCAACAAGCTCGCTCTCTTTCTGTTAATAAACATACATTTTTACTTTAAAAAGAGTTCAAAGAAAAGAAACATTTGAATGTAAATTTATATGTATATGGACATGCGCGACACAGCACACACCCACACAAATTGACAGACTAGGAAAAAAGAAAAAAGAAAAAGGAAAATGAAGCAGCAATGGCACAATGCCTTGCAAAATAAAATCTGCATCTATAGACAAAATACAAATTTTGCCACATGATGCCAAACTCACTTGCATGAAGATACAAGTTTCATGCATGATTACTTGACTAGTCATAGATATAAAATTATAGTGCTAATATGGAAAACCATCAATCATCTTTCTTAAAATTCTAAGTATCAATGATTCAACATTGACGCTCAAAATAAAAGTTTTAAAAGATAGTCAATAAAGGAAATTACAAAGTTGGAAAAAGGATATTGGATCAATATATGTCTTCTTTTCTGGTGCAAAACAGCATGCATGTCTCCTTTTTTATTTTTTCGGTGGAAGGGGGTTCTCTTATAGGGCAAAACTCACTTGAAATATCATGCCATATATGAAATGAAGTAAATTTTGAGACCTGCTTGAAATGCCAATAGCACCAGCCTTACCATCACAGTGCTCCTAAATATAATGCCAGTTATGCCATGCATCTTTCCCAACACAAGATGCGATATCATATGACGTTTACCTTTGACAAAATCCCAGGATTGGTGGCACCTCCAATATAGTTCAAGAGCAGTACCCTTCCAGGTGGTGCACGATTAGGAAAGAGTGATGAGCTGTATATAGTTCCTGCAAAACCCACAGACTAAACTCAGCAACAAATGGTGACCACTGATGTTAAGCATCAGTTAGTGGCATAGATAATGAATTTTTAAACCAAAGGGAATCTACCTAATGTTTTCAGCCCTTGGCTACGAGGATGCAATTGACCAAAACCCTTCAGTTCACCATCTATCAAGCATTCAGTCCGAATTGCTTCTTTTGGATATGAAATAGAAACTGCTGCAACTGGTGGGTAATAAAATTTTGATAGTGCATCTGCAGCAGCACCCTGCAGAAAGAAGCAAGAGGCAAGAAGAAAACAACTTGGAATGTCAGCTTCAAAGTAACAAAATGCAAAAAACAAGAAATAATAAAAATAAAACCGCCCTGATTAGTCTTCTAGATAACCACTATTTATAGACATGTGTTCTTATTAGGACACAATTTTGGCTAAACACCACCAACTTTAAATGCCTCAGAAATCAAGATTTAACAGTCAAACAAGTGGAAGTAAAAGATAACAAAGTATGTGAGAAAGAAACCTACAGATAGAGGACGCAATAAGCTACTTGCTACATGGGATGGAACAGTCATCACAACACTTTTACTCAGTAGTGAAATCAATCCTTCTGGTGTTTCATATGTCAAAGTGTACCCTCCTTTATCCAATTTACTGATACTTGAAAGCTTCCAAGATAACTTTACTTTGCTTCCCAACCTGCCAACATAAACACAACACAGTAGGCTTATCACGGCTGAGAAAAATGCAACACATGTTGCATATGAAAGAAACCCCACAGAGATGCTTCTCTGCTTGCCAATAAAGAAGGTTGATCATCCAACTAGAGCACTCATTTTGCTGAAAGAGGGTACCTTGAAGAAATTGCATCCGGCAACATAGAAAGTCCCTTCCTAAAAGATCCAACTGTTTGGCCCTTTGGCTTTGGTAGGCGCCTATAAATAACTAAAATCAGGACATTGAAAATAAACTTTAATAGTTAAATCATAAAATAACTTCAAAACAAAAATATGTTATTACGGATCTCGAGGTGTCTTATGAGCACGCTTCCTCTCCTGGATTGCTTTAAAAGCGCCACCAACGATACTGCCCCCATTTTGCTCTAGATTCCAAACTTTGCCAAATGCTGCTTTCATACTTAACTTTGAAGGATCGCCCGCATAAACACCTGAACATGACAAAAGTTTCAAGGCAACTATGAAACCACCATTACCTGATAAGGTTATAAAAAGCCACACCACTTCTAAAAACTTAATGGAAGAATGCAAAGTTAAAATGAACAACTTTTACAGGAAGTTTTATCGAGTCAGTAACTTAGTTCAAAGTGCATAGTTTGTGTAGATAACTGAGGATGGCTAAATAAATGAATGTGGTTAAATTTCAGATCCTATGTGAAATGCTGCCAGTTCAAAGTGTCATATAAAATTTGTGTAAGGTACCATTGTCTGCTATGGCCAATTTGATGTCACAGGTTGGTTGCTTGCATAAATGATGAAACTAAGTGCAAACAACTTCTTTTCCTCAAAATGGGTGTGGTTTAAGATGTAAATGCTATACACAACAGTTGGATTGAGAACGAACCAACCTTAGGATCCATTTGCAGGAAGCAGGAAGTGAATGCAGAGAATAAATAAGGTAATGCAGGAAGAGAAGAGAGTAGATAATGAATTTATAATAATGACCTGAACAAAAAGGCTCAATCAAACGTTCAAAAACCTCATCTCCGAGATTACGACGCACAAACTCTTCGACTGATTCCTCATGACCCTGTCACTTTTGTGAAAGATTATGCGAAATGAGAAATGCAGTAGGAATTGGGGAATGAGTGAGAATCGTGAAACAATTAATGAAAATTACATAGGAAAGAGACAAGAAGAGGACAAACTGGAGGAGGAGGGGAAGGGCGAATGCCAAGAGCGCCAAAGGCAGCCCTGAGTTTGCCGCCGATGCTCATCAAGTCAAAGAAAGGTATGTCAGCTGGGCTGGAGGGTACAGGCCTCAACTTGCCGTTCCACAACACGAACCGAGGTGCATTAGGATCCCCAAGAACCAGATCATCCTTCAAACCACTGTCCACCTACCAAACACAAATACCCAATTCACATTCACAGTCATAGCAACAGCACACTAGCAGTCTAATCTAGCTCACTCATTTGTAATTAATTTAACTTAAATTCCACCTCGCTACCAAAGCAAAGTAGAGCAGAGCAGAGAAGAGCAATACCAGCATGGTGAGCATGGGATCCGACGGCTGAAAACTATTGGGGCCCTCTTCCCAGAGATAGCCGTCCTTCTGGACGGTGATTATGTTGCCTCCCACGCGGTCTCTGGCCTCCGTCACTATGACATTCGGAACGGCGTCGCCGTGCTTGGTGGCCAGCGCCTGAGCGATGCAGAGCCCACTGATTCCACCGCCCACCACAACGCAGTCAACGGCGCCCAACTGCCCACCCGCTCCACTCACACCCAATGGAGATATCGTGGACTCTTTGGCTACCGAGCATCGCAACTTTAGGGAAGGGGTGGCTTTGTTTGGTTTGGGGCCCAAATAAACGGAGGGAGGTCTGTGACCGTGAGGTGCAGGAAAGAAAAGAGGCTGAGTGGCCGCGAGCGAAGGGAGGTCTGCGAGCCTGGCGGTGCTCATGGCGATTGGCAGGGAGGAGGAACCAGCACCAGCTGAAAATGAAGAAACACAGGTCACCAACTACCGTTTTCTTATCTTTAAAACAAAGTAAAACGACAGTGCTCAGACTCGACAAAAGAAAAGAGTAAAAGATACTAAAATGCTAACACTCGTTTTTTTTTGACATATTTATTTATCCGGAATTAGGAAGTAAGGGTTAATTACTGTAGACGTCCGTGAACTATGGCGCTAGTTGCAATTGGGTCCGTGAACTAAATTTCGTGGCAATTTAGTCCTTTAATTAGACAATAAGGTGCAATTAGGTCCTGCCGTCCAACTCTGTCAATTTGTCTGTCAAAATGAGGGGTAAAAACGTCCTTTCAAGTCTGAAGAAAAAAACTGAAAAAACTGAAGAAGAAAAAAACGCAGAGTGCAAGCCATGAAACGACAGATGTCTCTTCCTGTTCTCTTTCTTCTTCTTCTTCTCTCTACAGTTGCTTCGGCGAAGCTCACGAACCCTCTGGGCCTCGCCAAGTCCAGCTTCCCGTCCGTACACGCGAAGGAGCTCATCAAAGCCTTCAATCTCTTCCCCAAGGAAGATATCAACATCATCGACAGCCTTGATTCCTCGATCTTCCACGATTCGCCGAGGCTCGTCGAGAAGCGCTTCAATCTCCCCAACCTCGTCGGCTCCGGAGTCTCCCTCGAGGACCTCGGCCATCGGCCGGCTACTTTAAGATCGAGCATTCTCATGCCACCAGGTCAGCTTTGTAAATGCTTAGGATTGATTCGTTTTAATGCCATCAAATTGCTAATTTTGTGTTGCATGGTCAATTTGAAGGTTTTTTTTTGGGGGTTTATTTGGATTTGAAATTGATTTTGGTATTTGGGTTCAGTTCTTTTGAAGAAATGAATTGAAATTTTATATCTTATTGGTATTGGAGGTTTTGATTGAATTGAATTTTATTGAAATTTCTTATTTATATGGGTTTTGATCTTTTTGGCTTGAAATTGTGTTTTTAGGTATTGTTGCTTGCTTGGAAATGTTGCAAGCAAGCTAGACCCTGAAGCAACCACCAGACTTGGAGGCCTTTGGCTAGTTGGGGGTGTAGGTGGGTATGGGTGGTTATGGATGATGGTGCGGTGGTTGGTTGCAGAGAGAGGAGAAAGAAAGGAGGAAGATGAGGGCATTCTTTGGGGATAGGGATGGTGAATGAGGGTGGAAGAAACGGGGATGGTGGCTGGGTTGTTGTTTTTTTTTTTTTAAATTTAAAAAAAAACTTTTTAATTTTCTTTAACTTGAAAACTTATTAGTCAAAGGGATGGTGAGGTAAGGCATGAGGTGGACTTGGACAAAACGACGAAAAGTCGAAGATACCCTGAATAACAAGAGCACGTGACACTCACATGGTCAATTTCGACGGATTCTGTTACGGCAGGACCTAATTGCACCTTATTGTCTAATTAAAGGACTAAACTGCCACGAAATTTAGTTCACGGACCCAATTGCAACTAGCGCCATAGTTCACGGACGTCTACAGTAACTAACCCAAAAATATCGAAAAATGGTAAATTACTTAAATGGTCCTCAAATTTATACTCGATTTATATTTTGATCCCTCAATTAAATTATTCATTCAAATGGTCCACCAACTCTATATTAATCGCTCCATTGATCCTATCGTTACATTATGTTAATGTTGCCATCAAATGTAAGGGTAAAACCATCCATAACCGTCCTTTGTTCCCCAAATAGGTGATAAAGTGGTGATACATAAGTGATAAAGTAGTGATACATAGGTGATATAGTGGTGATAAATGGGTGATACGTAGGTCAAAAGTCTTATTTACCCCCACAAATGTAGCATGTGCTGCTCACATGACTAAATTTAATAGAAAATGTAACAATAAGACTAAAGCGCCGATTAATAAAGAGTTGGTGGATCATTTGAAAGAATAATTTAGTTTAGGGACCAAAATGTAAATTGGGTACAAATTTGAGGACTATTTGAGTAGTTTGCCCTATTGGAAAAATTAGGAAGGGTTATTGATCAAAATGGCCCCCATAACTATTGCTCTAGTATCATTTTGGTCCACCAACTAAAATTTTCATTTGAACCGTCCTTCAACTCTTCATTTGGTATCAAGATGGCCCTACCATCAAAGTCTGTCAATTTTATCGTTAAATTCAAGGGTAATATCGTCCATATACAACTACCAAACTCATTCCCCATCTCACGACTTCAACCCACATCTCAGGACTCCAACCCACATCTCAACCTCTTCCATCCTCAACCCAGCCGCCCTTCCCCAACCCCCTTGATCTCTCGCATAAAGTAGCAACTTCAAGCCCAAAGGAGCCCCACAAATCATACCAACCCGATTCAAATATAAGCCATACCCAACAAAAACAACCCCAGGTCATATCTGAGTTGGTGTACAAAGACAAGGGGTAGAGAGAGAGAGAGAGAGAAACACCCCCGCTCATAGGTTTTCATTTTCGTAGCTTTTGGGTGGTAATTATCATGGATTTAGGAGAGAGAGAGGGTGCAGATCATGGTGAGAGCGGCTGGGAGTGGTGAGGTGATGATGGGTGGAGGCTGAGAAGGGGGAGGTTGCGAGGTTGGAGATGGGGGTGAGGGGAGGTTGCGGGGTTGGAGAGGTGGGGTAGGGTAATGTTGGGTTCATTTGTTTTGGGGGTAATGCCGGGTTTGTTTGTTTTGGGGTTACTTTTTTTAATTTTTTGTTATTTATTTTTGTATTTATCTGATTTTAAAATTTTAATTAATTTAAACAATAGAGAAAAAAATTATTACTTTATAAGTCCATGTCAACAAAAAAAAAGCCATGTTGGTGGTGAGATTCAATTTTTTCAAATTTTAAATTAGGTATAAGTTCCTATAATAGTTTCCTTTAATTTTAATTATTGTTTACTCTTTTAAAAAATTTGTTCTTTTATATTTATATTTATGTGATTTTATTTTATTTTATTTTATTTAAACAATAGATAATTTTTTATATATTAATTGTTAGGTCAATCTCATGAAAAAAAAGCCATGTGGCTGGGGAGATTTAATTTTTTAAATTTTTTTAAGTTTTATAATAGTTTCCTTTAATTTTTAATTATATATTACTATTTTAATTCATAGAGACATTTTAACCCCTTAATTTAACAATAAAATTGACAGACTTTAACGGTAGGACCATTTTGATACCAAATGAAGAGTTGAAGGACCATTGAAATGAAAAATTTAGTTGGTGGACCAAAATGATACTGGAGCAATAGTTGGGGGACCATTTCAATCAATAACCCAATTAGGAATATGGGAATGAAGGAATTGACAATATAGATACGCTACATGCTAATAAACACGTACAATTATGGCAAATGACCCACTAGTGTAGTAGTTTGGAGCAATTGCTCTCTAAGAGAGGTCTTGGGTTTGAGTCCTAGCATTCGTGTGTAGTGTGTGTGAATTTAATATGTTATTGCCTTTCTCAATAGGAAAGATCTTCCCAAAAAACACATTGAATTATGAATTGAAATAATTTCAATACACATACATGGTAAAATAAAAATTAAAAAGGGTCTTGGATATGTATAAAGAGTATTTGGTAGTTGGTAGTTTACTTGATTTGTCATACTCTATCTCTGCTTACTTTGCAATATTTGAATGAATGCACACACAATGTTCATTGTAGTTGTTAGAACTGGGGATGCCTAACTTGATAGATCATTCTGAATGCCTAGGTCGTCACTTATATATATTTTTTTAAGCTTCCAGGTTATTTTGATTGATTGAGTGCATATATAGTTCTTGTTAATGTGTTATTGAGTCTATGGCTAGTTGTTGACTAGTTATATTGTAGCTTGGTGTGTTTGATTGTTATTCTCCTAGACCCGATAATGAGAAAAATTGATAAAACACTTTTTAAACAATTAATAAATTTAAAGTCTCAAGTAGTTCGAGGAAAAATTGTTTAGGGCTATTTTTCATTGCCTAGAATTTCGAATTTGAATTTGAGACGTTAATGAGTTGTAGTCTAATGAACAAGGACCTTAACTTGCAAATCGATCAAACTCATGGTGACACATTGTCTTGTGTGTCTGAGAGAATATCCCCTTCCCATTATTTTATTTATTTTTTGCCATATCCCCTTCCCCTTCTTAAACTTTAGCTTAAAAAATTGGATTTGGGACGTTTTGAGTTGGAAATGGTATATACTCTTAAAGAGCAGGGGTAGTGTCGTCAACTGAGTTGAAAAGGAGCATAGAGTGAGCCCGTCAAACCTCATCTTATTTTTGAATTTTTGGACGATCGCCAGGGCTTTCCATTCTGCGAAAAACGCACATGTTTTTCCCGCCTTCTCTTTTCATTATTTTCAAACTGTTCTCGTTAATTCTCTCTCTGTTTTGCTTTATCTTTATGAGGAACCCCTCGGCTTCGCCTTCAGCTATCAAAATTACTTTGTGAATTTATAAAGCTGGAGCTCATCGATCATCAAACACAACGGTAAATAAGCTGTAAGCTATTTATGAATGAAAATGTTTCGGTTTTGATTCGTTTCGTTTTGTTCGATTATTTTTGCATTAGCAGATTTTATACTTCAATTTTTTCTTGAATAGTTGGGATAGCTTCATCTCGTCTATTATTAGCTTTTGAATTTTGCATGCCCGTACCTTCTGGTTAGTCATCTGATCTCAGATGCAGAACCTAAAATGTAAAATACGAAGGTCTGAGGGCCTGAGATTGGTTTTCTATGAGTTAGGGTTTACCAATCTGATTATCGTATGAGTTAGATGTGTCTGATTTAGAAGTAGTGAAAGATTTTACATGAGAAACGGAAGCGTCGTGATTATTGGGGATTTACCAATTTGATATATATTTTTTCTCTTCCTTTGTTTTCCTATTGGATGGTGAATTCATAGTTAGGTGGTTTTCTTCTCATGTTCTCATTGCTCTAGAGATATTTATATCAGCACTGGGTTTATGTTGTGTGTCAGATACTATGTTTGGTTACTCAGAAATCATAATGAAATATTAAATCAAGCGCTTTCTATTGTGTTTGTTTTTACTCTTTTAACAATTTGAAAACTCTACTACCTAATATCAAACA